TAGTCTAAACTTGCTGAATGGTCAGCTTATAGTAGCACAAATAGTTATATCTATTCCAGCAGTCTGAATCTAGAAAGACTGGTGAAAACTGTGATGGATGTGATAGTATCTTTTCACCATGTACCATCAGTACACTGCATATTTTTTCTTGCTAATAAACATAGCCAGAAGGAAAACAGAAGGGAAGGCTTCCTGCTTACCTTATTCTGGCTGATGAGCTCTAAGTCAAACATTGTGGAGACAGCAGAGGATGCATAACAGGGGAAAGGACAGACAGTTTCTTCTCAGAGAGTACTTTCTCAGCATACAGCTAGAAAAAGTATCAAACCTGTGAGCTGAACAAGAATTAAAAGAGAAGAAAGTAGAGTTCATTTCAACAAAATCTTGAATTGAACAAAAGTTCTTTTTGTAGTTGTGAAGAGTCCCATAAACAAGCTTCAAGATATGATAGAAAGAAAGTGTTCTGGAGGAAAATGTAGAGGAGATTGAGAAGTGTGAATAAAACTGAAAGCCGGTGAAAATCGCTGAGCTTGAGCTGGAGGAAAGAACTTATCCTAAAAACAACGGATAAGGGAAAAGTGAGACCGTTCCACTTCCAGATTTTGGTGAACTTGGGTTCTATCACAGTAGAAACCAAGTCCCTTCCCGTTCCCGTTCCCGTTCCCGTTCCCGTTCCCGTTCCCGTTCCCCTTCCCTTCCCCTTCCCGTTCCCCTTCCCCTTCCCCTTCCCCTTCCTCTTCCCCTTCCCCTTCCCCTTCCCCTTCCCCTTCCCCTTCCCCTTCCTTCCCTTTCCTTCTTCTTCCTTCTTTTTCTTTTATTAAAAATGATGTGATGAATAAAAATAGCTAAACTGTCCAAGGGCATTTTAATGAAAATGAATGAATAGCATGTCTCCCAGCTGTGCACCTCCAACATGAAGCAAAATCATTCCTCCTGCTGTATATCCTGTTACTGTTTTGTTTGTTTGTTTGTTTGTTTTTTCCTCCCAGTCCATTTCCTAGTCTTCTTTTTGATATTTATTTTGTAAACAATAAATATTTTCTTCTAGATTTGCTAGATAATTGTCCTTAAAAATATTTTTAGAGCAGTTTGGGGTTGATACAACAACCAAAAAATATAATTAATAGGTAATTGTGAAGATTGCATGGTGGGAAACAGAAACTTTACAGCACCATTTTCCATGCTCACTGTAGAGAGGTGCCATTCCCTTCCTACTATGTCTATGGAAATCCCTACAGCAAGTATTAATGTCTGGAATTCTTGAATTTTTAATGAAATTCTCCCAGAATGGAATCTAGTCTTCACTTGAAAATTTGTTGTTGTTGTTGTTGTTTGTTTGATTGTTTGTTTATTTTGTAGCTACCTCAGTTTCAAGCAGTTAAGATCAGTTAAATCAATCTACAAAGTAATAGAAACATGCAAAGTTGTAGACTTGAAAAAGAATTATTAATGAAACAAACTTTCATGAGTTGGCATGTTGTCTTTAGCAGGCTTTCTTTAGATTTTAGCTTTATTGCAGCTATTCTGTGTGAAGACTAATATGAATTTACTATTTTCTCTTTTTTTTTTTTTTTCTGAGTAGGATTAGGTAGCTTGGTGTAGAGTCTTATAAAATAAGGAATTGATTAGGTTACAAATAAAAACAGGAGTTTACTTTGGAGTTTCTTTGGACATCATGAAAAACTTCAAAATAAATTACTGCCTTTGTCAGAAGTTAATACCAGCATGCTATTAAAATAAGTGTCCCTCTATGTGGAAAACTGGAAGCTACATTTCAGTAAAAAATTTGTAACACAGAATAGACATTCTTATGGTAAGTTTTGATCCTTTAAAAAATTATGTATTTTTGTTAGAGAACATACAACTTTTTTTTTTTTTTTTTTTTTTTTGTCAGTCCCTTAAGACTGGAGGATATGTGCTATACCAGCATTATGTAGGAGACAGTCTTATATTTAAGAGCTTAAAATCTACAAAAATAACAAATATGGAGAATGAGATACAAAATTAAAGAATGATGGCTCATCTGTGAGAGATTGTATCTATAATAAGGGCATGGGTTTTCTTGCATTGATAAAGAAAGGGTGTCTGTTCCTGCCTATTTTGACCTTATTGTTACATCTGTATCCTGGTATCATCCTGGTACTTCATTTCTTGGAAAATAAATAAATAAAAGATATGCAGCTTTTCCACGGTTCCTACAAATGACTGCAAACATTATTCACAAAGAACATTTTTTATAGGAGAATAATTCTGGTCTCCTTCTGGCTACAAATGCCCACATCTGGAATAAATCTAAGTTAAATCAAGAAATAAGAACTGATCTGTGCTTCTCATATATCTCTATGTATGTCATGGCTAAACTAAAATTTGACTATGCCCATTGTCTTGCTTTCTTCTAAGTGTCAGGAAAATTATTTGACATGCCCATGAGAACACTGAATATTTTCCAAAGAACTTGAGAAAGTTTAAAGCTGTATTGTAACTTTTGTATGAGTCCAAGAGAGAAGATTCTTAAATATTGGTAAGACTAGCATTGTTGGAGAACTTTAATATACTTTTTGTATACAGAGTACAGAACTGTAATATTTTTATTTCCCTCTGTTTATCAGTAAATTATCATGGATTCATTATTTTGTTTGAACCACGCATTCATTTATTTTAACATAAATAACTATAATATACCTTTGCTTACGTTTCCTTTATGCAAATTACGTGTGTTTAAAGAGACTTTGACTAGTGTAGGCTTTATATTAAAAGCAGTTGTCTCTATTCCTTTTTTTTTTTTTAAACAAACAAACAAACAAACAAACAAACTCTCTTTAAAATTGACTATTTATTTGAATGAATAATGTATAACTCATGTAACTCCTAGCTTATTAATTGTTTAGTTTCAGAGAAAGTAACTAAGTAACTAGTTATTAACAAGTTAATAACTAGTAACTAGTTACTTAGTTACCACTAACTATTTACTTGGCTACTAACTAGTAACTAGGAGAAGCAAGTTGTCATTCAGAAGGACACATTAAATTTAAATACTTTATTAACGCATAGAGTAGAAGTGGTCAAAGTACGTCATATACACTTCTTGCTCTTGTAAAGAAAAATAGTAATGAAGATTAAAGAATATTGGGGTGCTTTTTTGTTTGTTTTCTTTTTGGATAGAAGAGGCAATTGCTAACATCTGATTTAGCAAATTTTATGATCCAGTGTTTTGTTTGTGTTTTTTTTTTTTTTTTTTTTTTTTTTTTTTTAGTTATATGGCTTCTCTTGCATCATCTGTTTTCTCTGCAGTAGGCCAAGCAGAAAAAATAGCAAATTGAATAAACAGTACTCACACTTAATAATAAACAAGATTAAATGTGTAAACAATTAAATGATAAAAATAACCTTAAATTGTTAATATTTTTTTTCCTTTAGAATTGAAATTGATCTTGAGATGAGTTTAGATCAAAGAAACAGAATCTGAGTCAACATTGACCTTTTCATGAGGATATGCAGTGGTTCTGCTTCGCTTGAGAACCTATGACACTCAGTGGAATGATTTTAATGAGGTTGCTGTTTCTCCAAATACATTTTAAGTAGATCAAGAGGAGAAGTTCTTGGCTAAGTATTGTGGTCAACATATGAAGATGAAACATTCTTGAAAGATTTCATATTTGGATTTGCTAATATTAACAATTTCCCAATGTTTGAATATTATCATTTTATGTATGATGTAGCTAGATTCACCTTGTACTTGTATGGTATGCTATTTAGAGAAAGATAATTAATAAAGGATTGAAAATGATTCCAAGGATCTTGTTTCTTAGCTTTCTGTTGTTGTTATTTTGCTGTCTCTTGAAAGAACTGAATTATTTATTTTTATTATTATTAAGAAGAAAGATAAAAAATAAATAGAAAAGTCTGCAGTTGAATTTCTTTGTTGAATTTATTTTCTTTGTTTTGATATTGATGTTTAAAAACTGGAAAGTTATTATATATTGCAGAAATCAGGTAAGGATGTCATCCCCCCAAAACAAACAAACAAACAAACAAACATATATATTTTTACTTTCCCTGCTTACGATAGCATGTTATAGACAGACAGAAAACAAAGTCCTCAAATAATTTTCCTTTACCACACCTGCAGAGCTACATGCCTTATATTAAAGAAATACATATTATTTGATGTTATACAATATTAATAGAAAAAGTAAAAGAAAAGTATTAATAGAAAAAGAATACCTTGCATCTATGCTATCTTTACATCTCTCCTATCCTTATGAGCACTGCAGGAATCTCTCTTTTACAGCAAAGAAAATGGATTGAGAAGGCAAATACCTTTGTGTTACTTATGGTCTCAAACAGCAGGGGGTCTCCACATGATATGACATGTGAAGGCCCTGTAAGTTCTGAGTCTATTACTAGACACCTGTCAAACTTCTTTCCAAAGAAGCATCAGGTGTATACAATGACTAGACTATTGGGTATGATTGGCTCTCTGCGATCATCTTTCATAGCTCTGGCTATGAAGAAGAGACACCAATTCTCAATAAACCTTTACAGAGCAAGGTTCCCATAGGTCCCACACTGTCTCTGAAAGGAGAACTCCAGGGTGCAGGCTTGTTACCATATCATCTAATCTCACAGTGCTAACTTTTTTTCTCCCCTCAGACCCTTATTCTTTGCAGTACCAACTAATTCCTTGAATTTAAAGTGTTCTATAAAACAAGTAATTGCAGGAGGACATCTCTTGAAAGTACAACAGCCTGCAGTACAAATGTTGCATTCTTTAACCCTTCAATTCACAATAAGACCAGCCTGTATCACTGGCAGTTACTTACAGTGTATAATAGATCTTTCTCAAACTGAAGACTCTCAGTTGACTGAAACCTCAGCTATTGTGATATCAGGGACTAATGAGGCTCTGCTGACTATAACACTACTTATGTTGTCTGAAGTAGGATGAATTCAGAGTCAAGGAATCTCTTAATTTTTTTTATTTTTTTTATTTTTTTCAGGAAACTCAAAGACCTGCAATGGAGTCTGTATCTAAAAAGTACCTCACTAATTGGTATGTCTAGGAGAGACTGCAGGGAAAAGGTAACATAGACATGAACTGAGTACATTTTTAAAGAAAATCGAAGTAATTCTTTTTAAATATAACCTGATACCTTAACTAATGTTAAGCAGTCTGAAGTGGAGAAATACCAGAAACATTGAATTCAAGTAAGGACAAGGATAAAGTATCTCAGAAATAGCAATATATAAATGTGATTTCAGGCTCAGACTTTCTCTATGTATTTTTATACTTTAAAATGCCTTGCAATAATTGCAGTAAAATAATATAGTTTCCTCCTCCAGTAATGTTCATTGACATATGGTGCAGTACTTGCACATATGACGTTCTGGCATTTTCACAAATGTTTTCTCAGTTCCATGCTATGTATTCTGAGATGCCAACATATTATATATTTGTCATGTACAAATAAACAGTCAATTATTTCAGAATAGTTTGTGAAGGGAATTCCAGAGAAAATATATAAAAATAAAATAAAAAATAATTTGATATGAGTGTTTGAAGAGAGATTAAATGATGTGTAAAGGATTAAGTACAGGAGAGTAGTCCAATAAAAATCGAGTAGTTCACTGAAACACGGCCATTCCTTTTATCTGTCCTCTAAATTCTATAAATGGCAACAGACAATTACACAGAAGAGTTACTGGGAATGGAAAAATCTAGTGTTGAGCATGGAGGACCGAAATACATAGGCCAAGAAACAGAGGAAAACCATGAGATAGAGTTGAATGGATACGTTGAGTGAGTTCAAGGATAGTTTTCAATAGTAGGAAGGTAGACATTGTATAGCAGAAAAAATTAAGGAGTTATACTGTGCAGAAAATAGTTGTGGTGGTATTTAATTTCACATCATGGGATAGCATTTGTAAACAGTTTACAAACTGGTTCAGAGTGGGATAGTGCTTTGTCAAAGTATCTATAGATTATTAGATCAAAACAAATTGGATTTGATGGCAGTAAAACATAAAATTTTATCAGTTAAAATTACTGTAAAACAAAGTAATGTACCTGGAAAACACTAGCTTAGCAAATATATTACTAAATTTCTTGTTCTTGTAAAGACACCTTGAAGTTTATCATCATATTTAATTCATTAGGATTCTACTTAGAAAAAAAAAAACAAAAAACAAAACAGCCAAAATTTTCTCTACTTAGAGAAAAAATTCAGCCAAAATCTAAATTCCTTCCAACTGAATTGATGTAGTGCACAACTGCAAAAATATTTTGTTGTTGTTGTTGTCATTGTTTTTATTGAGCTTAACTTTAAAGCTAGCAGCTTCACTAATTAATTATTTTTAAACATTTAAACAAATGCTAACTTCATGAGGGAGGGTGACTGGTTAAGGGTGAAAAGAAGTGTGAGTCCTCCTGGGTATGTCTTGCTTCTTGTTGTAATAAAAAAGTGCTGGATACACTTGTCCAGGCTGTCCTTTGATCTTCAAGGTTAACTAGAGCTTCTTGTAGTTAGGTCCCTACTGTTTCCAAGTTAATTGGTCCACCTTTACATTCATACAGAAATCCCTGGAAAGTCAGTTCAAACTACCTGATATTAGACAATATTTTCACAGTGGGAAAAAAAAAAAAAAAAAAAAAAAAAAGAAAAAGAAAAAGAAAAAGGAAAAATAAAAGAAAAAAGAAAAAAAAAAAGAAAAAAAAGGAAAAAAAAAAGAAAAAAGGAAAAAGAAATGTATTTTCATAAAGATCAAGAGAAAATAACCATAGTGAAGTGGACCCTAAATGTACAATCTTGAAGATTTCCTGGCTATTTGTTTCCTTGCTATGATATGAAGGAAAGAATAATTCTCTTAAGAAGCAAAATCTAATTCCTGCTGGCAGTTTGCATCTAGTTGTAAGTGAAAATGTTAGATATCAGGCAAGATACATGGATGAATCTGTGGAGTAGTGACAGGTTTTTTGTTTTGTTTTATTATGTTTTGTTTGTTTTTACAAGAAAATAAAAAGACAACAAGCTAGAATTCTCATTTAAAGTTCCAGTAAAAAAAAAAAAAAAAAGAGAGATTCCAACTTAATATGATGCACAGCTCTTTGTCATTGTAGGCCCTAAGTTCTATAGTCTGTAGAGCTCAGATATAGTATATAGAGACATGTACAAATGTGAAAATGTGGAAACAAAACAAAAATTCAATTGTAACACCATTTAGAAAAAATATATATATTTTTTAAAATATATAAATATTTATATATTTATATACAATATATTTATATATAATTATATATATATATATATATAAATTAATATATATATATTTATATAACATATAAAAATATATATTTTTTAAAAGAAAGAATTCTAGTCAGCAATCTCAGTTCTGGTGTAAGTACTTCTCATTATAGAATCCTTACTTTTACTTTTTTTTTCTGATATATCAGAAAAAAATATATGTGGATTAATAATAAATTTAATAAATTTATTAATAAATTTATTTTAATAATAAAATATATATGTGTTAGATATATCTAACACATTTATTTGTTTATTTCCCATCAGAGAGATAAAACACCTGTTTTTCCCATGTAAGGTCATACTTGTTGTGACGCTTCCTTTATGTTGTTTTCTCCTAGATAATTATGCTTGTAAAGAAACTTTTGCTGTTGTTGTTCCCTGCTTAAACAACACCATGCCATTTCACTGAGTTATTGGTCTATTATCGCTGTTAATTTTAGATTTAACACCTAAACAAAATCCGTGGGACCAATGAGGATATGTAGGTATTTTCTTAATAACATACCTAGAAGAACACAATCTAACTGAAATCTTTTTTTTTTTTTTTTTTTTTTTTTTCTCTTTAAGAGCCCTGAAAGGTGTAGTCTGGCTTATTAGATAGTGCATACAGAAGGTGACAAGTAGATGAATGAGGGATTACAATCTTTTGTGATTTTTTCATTGAGCACATCTTGATGTAGCTTGCAAATTCATGCTGAAGAGTTGTACCTAACCCTGGAACTTTTCTCAAACATGGTGGAATTCCTTCAGTCATGTAATCATACAATAGTTTGTGTTGGAGGGGATTTTAAAAATCATCTAGTTCCAACCCACTTACCATGGGCAGGGACACTTCCCACTAGATCAGGTTGCTTAAAGCCCCATCCAACCTGGCCTTGAACACATGAATACTGGGGCATCCACCAGTTCTCTGGCAGCTTGTTCCAGAGCCTAATCTTCCACAACAAAGCAAAAGAGAAAAAAAGATTAAATGAGTACTATTTAAATCCATTCTCTTTATTTGTCATTTTGCTGACTCAAACAGGAGGTAGCCCTTTTCCAGTGATCGTTCGTTCAAGAAAGTGTTTGCTGTCTCCCAACTTTAAAAATGAATTTATTTGAGATTTTTTTCTAAAATGAAATGATTCTTCAGCCAGTGCTCAGACATTGTGTGAAATGCCGACCCTGTATAAAACAACATGAGAGCAGATCTCTTCCATTATTACAGTTTACAAATGCAATCATAACTTTAATTTTGTACCACTAGTAACTGAAGGGCAAAGAGATTTTTTTTTTGTGCACTTCCACATATTTGAGATGTCCAACTGCTTGATAATAATGCTATTGTCAAAGTGAAATTCCTAGTCTGCATGATATTTTTTTTATTATTATTTTTGCTATGATACCTTTGCCATAAATACAACATGAAATATTTTATAGAAAATAGGCAAGATACAAAATTCAAGGTTTGAACTAGGAGTGTTTTCAAGTTTCTGCTAGCAGCTGCCATTCTCATCATGAGGTCATTAATCCAGCTGAATGGGGTGTCAGTCCGCTATATTATCACTTGTATACCTTTACAAATAGATCCCTTGATAGCAGAGCTGGGTTCTTAAGCTCAGTGGAAACATGTTTCTGCGGTCTTATAAAAACACAGAAGTAGAATTTTGTAACATCCCACCCTGTCCTTGATAAGCTTCTTCCACATTATTTATTTGATGCAATGATTAGAGATAGTTAAATTATCAGATTTTCTCTAGAACTCAGCAATCAAATTGTTTCCAGATTAATCATTGTATCTTCAGTTGACCGTTACTTCATTTAATTATGAATAAATCACTGATTTTTTTTTCCATATGTTCAGAAATTGGTACAACTGAAAAACTAAAATAAAAGTCAGGCTTATCATAAATTATCATTAATTAAAGTTTTGAAAGCCATTAAATGATTATTTTTACTACTTGAGGGTTTTTTAAAAAACTTTTATAAAACAATGTAAGTGGAATTAAAGTATCAATGTCTTTTTTTGTGTTTTTGAAATACATATCCATTTGTTTACTGCATACTCACATACCTGTATATGTCTGTCATTCAGACTTTTATCAACCTGACAAATGCAAGAGCAGAAAAAGAAAAAAATCCAGGTACGAACTTCAGGCAAGTGGACTGTTTTATATTACAGTTATATATGGAAGTGTGACATTTTACAAAAGAAAATGTAAAAGATATCAAGTTCTTCTAAATGTATCTTTATAGTTTAAAAGCCCATTTGTTTTCTGCTGTTGTAGTTTAAATTCAAAGGAGTAATTGTTCAAAGAAAGCATTAGGTTAATTTGTTCAATTCTATGTCAATGTAAATACTAAATAAAACAATATATAAAACTCTATTATAATTAAAATAACAATGTCAATAACAATGTCAGCTCCTGCTTTGGGCCCAACTTGGCCTTTATAAACTATCTTAACTTTTGGAATTTGCCATTCTGATTAAAATTAGCTATTAATTTTTAAAAAGATATTTTTTTCCTTCTTTTTTCTAAGCAGTTTTCCTTTTGCTCATATAGATGACCTAAAAGAGATGTTAAGTATTTATTATGCATATATGAAAAAGAAGCGATCTTCATTCTCACAGAAAACTTCCTTGTAAGCATCTGAAAAAAAATATCAAGAATTTTAATAGATGAAGTATATGCCTTAGTCTGTTGCATATAGTTCTATCCATACTCATACATTGCAGACGTAGTTTAATCACCCATAAGAAATTACTAGCTTCTCTGTTCGTGAAGCATGACATTTCAATTGCACAGCCAATAAAAGAATTACATGAAGAGGGCTGAAATGATTTACTGTATGGAAAGCCACAAGACCAAGGTTACCATGGTGAACTACCTTTCTGTGCATACAAGGTCAAGTGAGAGTGACCTGTCAGTGGACAACCTTCAGTGCTAACATAGTAATATATTGCACCAACAACAATTTGTTGATTTGCTTCTTAAATAATTATAAACATTTTAATATTTGGTATTTTTCATGGCTGAATTTTTAAAATGGAGATAACAATGAATACGGAAATCTTCATTTTATGCTTCAGTAATATTTTAATAGCATTAGACGAACATCTGTGTTTAGGAAATTTTATGAATCATAGTTGTTTACAGTAACATTTCTTAGGTTATGTTCAGAGGTTAAAAAAAGCTTACCAAGGGTTTTCACATATTTAATCTAGTGTGTATAAAATTCCAGTTGATGCTTTTCATATTTTCTGACTCTGCATTATTGTATATTGCAGAATTCTTTCAGTTCCAATGGGGATGAAGATAGGGAAGCAGGGAACATTGCAAATAGACTGTGTACAAATAGTGTCAAAGAAAACATACAATTATAATTCAAATGCTCAGAAAGAAGTCTGAAAACCAGGGAGTTCATCTAATGGTTCTCTGAAAAATATTTTGTTGATGCATAAAATGAGAACTATACTAATAAATGTCTCTTGAATTACATATGCTGTAAGAAAATGAAACCCTTTGGGTTATGAATCTTGGATTTAAAGAGGCAGTCATCAAATATTTAAGATGAAAATGCAGTAACACATGCTAGCTGTCATGTGTAAGTTTGGTGAATGTTATGACAAGGTTTTTAAAACATTCATAGTCAGAGTATTTTTATAAAAATGTTCATTAATTCAAACAGACATTCATATCTGGCAACCTACATTACAATTGAGATTTTTAGATGCATGAGAAATCTTTGTAAAGCCAAGAAAATATGGGTGAAATATATAGCAATCATGTTTAAATTATACATTATAAGGCATACCTATCGGTATGTTGTCATATTATGCATTAAATTTAGTGCATAAATCAGGTTGTTATAATTCTGATGTCGCCAAAAGGCACAAAATATGACAAACAGGACTAGGCATGTAGATATTATCATACTCAATAATTCAATGAGCATTTGTTTTATGTAAATTAACTTCTATTATTAAAAATTACACTCATTTATTACACTACTTCTATGTGGTAATTAAAAAAAAATCCTTTTCCTGGAGAATCGTTACAAAATGTGAATAATGCATCTGTTTAATATCTTTATAAACAAGATCTTACCATCAGATTAGTTCTGGAAATGAAAGTGTTATTGATTTCGATAATAATTTCATAATACTGTTACATTGCAGTGTTGAAGCTGCTAATCCCGTTTATGTGGAGAACTATGCATTTAAAGCAGTGCTTGAACTCTCACATACAGCACATAAAAAATATTAATTTGATACAGGCTGCTATTGTTGAATCTGCAGAAAATGTACCTTTCAAAATATTGAGGATAAAACCCAGATACTTTTAATTGTATCTTTTAGCATAACAAACATGTCTGTCTATTAAAAGCGTTGTGATAGACTGGTTTCTCGCAATACATTCAAGCATGTTGGATGGTAGTGTACCAAAATTTTGATATGATTTCATAGCAACCTGAGGGAAGTTTAGAGCTATGTCTATTTTCTTATTATATATATGTATATATATATATAAAAGTGAACTTCTTGGGAGTAAAAAAAAATATTTTTGTCTGCTTTTAATTGCAAAACATTACGGTACATTGTTTTTCCTTTTCCTTTTCCTTTTCCTTTTCCTTTTCCTTTTCCTTTTCCTTTTCCTTTTCCTTTTCCTTTTCCTTTTCCTTTTCCTTTTCCTTTTCCTTTTTCTTTTTCCTTTTTCCTTTTATTTTTTTTTCTTTTTCTCTTTTTCATTTTTAATTTTCCTTTTCTCTCTCTCTCTCTTTTTTTTTTTTTTTCCTCACTAGTAGGTTTAGATGTAAGACATTTGTTTACTCATCTTGCAAGAGCAACAAAAGACAGAAGTGAATATATGTTTGTGGGGAAACATTCAAGGCAAGACCTACATCATGCTAAGGAAATTTTTCAGAGCCAAAAATATATGTCTAACATTGCTTCTATGATTCTATGATTTTAATTGAGTTAGTGAGACAAATCATGTGAAACCTGTGGGCATCCTGATAAGACACAGCACAGAGGGAAGGTGAAATTCTTGAACCTAACTTTCTTCCACCCTTCATCACTATATCTTGGCAGGAAATAAAAGAGTTTATTTTCTGTTCTTTATTAAAAGTTGACAAATAAGTACTTCAAGGTACCAAGCTTAGCTGAAGTTGAATATGCTGCTGTGAATGGTGATCCCAACTGAGCATCATTTCAGTGAACTTCTATTTGGTTAATTGTTAGTGTCACACTGCTAGAACCATCACTTAGCTCTGTAAAGTGACAGAAATCAAAGGCCTTGTTGCTGCACATAGAGAAGCAGCAAACGATGCTGAAGATTTTCCAGCTCCCCTGGAACGAAATGGGAACAAGCACTGAAAGACATGGAACATGTCCTCATGTTTCTCTTCCATTTGCTTTCAGGACATAACATACAGAGTTATAGTACTTTTTAAGGAAGAGTCCATTACACAGACAATTGTACACAGTCCATATCATATTACTGGGACTATTAGACTACCTAATGACTGACAAACAATATTAGGTTTTAAGTTGTGCACAGTGTCTCAGAAGGTGGAAACTAAAAATACACAGACTAAGAAATGCCAATTTTTTCATCTATCTTGTGGCCATTGGCAACTGATTAAATAAATGTAGTTATATTCTATGACCAGTAAGGCATAAGCTAGACGACATTAGTATTATATCTACAATGGGAATGAATGTGTGAAATATGGAAGTCCCAGTGGTATTCATAAATCCATATGTCATTTCAGTTATTTATCCAAGATTGAATTAAGGACAAATTTTTAATATTTTTTTAAAAAGAAAAAATTTTGAAGAGAAAATAAAAAAATCACTGGATAAAATAAGCCCAGTAAAGCAGACTTTGGGAACCTCCAGAAATTTAACATTTAAATGTTAACATCTAAATGTTTTAATGTGTTGGGATATTACGTTTTTTTCATTTTTGTCTCAATTTTCAGGCTCTTTTTCTTACTGAAGGTATTAGACATTTACACTGGCTATTTCAGGCATTTGTGTAGATTCTATAAATCTTCTGGAGATCTTCTTTCTTCATGCAGTGTCTATGAGGACTTTTTCCTGTCTTTTTTTCTTTGAACAGCATTGTCCCAAGGTTTATAGTTTTCCATCTACTTGACACAAGACTAACGGAAAGAAAACGAACAAACAAACAAAAAGATGGTTTTCTAATCATTGTGGACTAGAAGAATAAAACATTATTTTAATTCTTTCTGATTTTTTTTTTTTCAGATATCAACTTTCCAAAATATATGCATTAAATGAAGAGTAAAATTTTACTGTACTTTGTTAATGAGATTTTTAATTTTGATGGAATATAATACTAATAGAACATCAAAAGTCATTAAGCAGTCTTCTTTTCTTCTTTATACTGCAGCTACTTAAGTAAGCAATTTAGGTATTTTTATTAAACTGAAAGGCAGTGACACAAAGTAGATAAGATGTGATTTTATTTTCATTTTTATTATTTATTAATTATTTATTTATTGTTACTGAATTGTTTAGAAGAATATAGAAAGGTGAATGGAAAAGGTATATTATTTTCACACCAAAAAGTAATTGTCAACTTACTTTCTGTGATATGCGTTACAGATTATTACCTATAGAGACTGTTTTGAAATTTGGAAGCAGTCCAAAATACAAAGGATAATATTCAAATCTATGTCTGTTTTCCTAAGAGAGATTCTTAACCACTACATATCTGTGAGGCTATTCAAATACACATTACTCTTCTTTTCCATAGGAGAATTCTTCAGGCAATATTTTTCTGAAAGGACCACAGTTTTTGCATCCTCCTTTTCTAGTGTTTCTTTGGCTTGGCTTCCCATGAAAAAGTATGAAAACAACATGACTTTAGTTCTGTTGTTTTGATTTTCTTTATATTTTTTTAATTGTTTATTTCACAATTTGACTGCCAGTGTATTTACTGGTAGAAGCTGTGATGGTTTTATCTACCAAAATAACTTTTGTTTATTGCTTTTATTCAATTAATAATAACATCTAGGTAGTAATGGTATATGCATCATGTAAATTACTAACTACATATGAAAGGATTTTTCTCAGTAAGACTCTTTTTGATAATGTAATTACATTTAATACTTA